AAATGATTTTCAGTCAATTTAATTTTGATAACTGTTTACAGTCTATTAATAGAATCACACCAAAATATTGTACATTGTAAACAGACCGAGATCCAATACATTCGTTTAATAAGAACTTTTCTTTTCCGTCCATGGCAAAGGTGCACGAACGAATGTTTTTCTAGAAATACATTAAATAGAGATCAGTTGAAATTGGACTTAAAGATAATTTTGATACTGAATCATAAAAAAGTATTATCTTGTTTCAATAAATCGATTTAAAATCATTAATTTTTTATTTTAATGATTAAAAGTATTACTCATTACAAATGTAAGTGCCTTATTGTCTTCAAAAATGTGTAAAATGTACATTCCACCAATTTATCTAATTTGATATATGTTTTGGTATTTGGCAAGTTTCGGATAAATATTGCCGTCATAGAATTGGTTAGGTATATAGAAAATGTTTTAAAATTTAATTGAAATTTTACATAAATTCTATAACATTGTTTCTAGTAAAATTATTTCATCAATTTTAAAACGAATTGGCATATAAAGACACATAAACAATTTACTAATAATTTCACTAACTCGCACTCTCATTATTGCTCTAAATAACTATTTTTTCATTCTAAATAATTATTTTATGCCGCTCTTTTAATACATTGTATCTGTTCCTAAATTAGAATCTTCTTAACAAAATGATGAACTATACAATTTTTTTCATACGATTCTATTTTATTTTATCATTAATATATTACTGCACATATTTTCAACCTATTTTTTCTCTATTATTACTGTCACTATTCAATAACTTATATAATATATAATTGCATTCACAAAAGTTGGCAAAGCAAGATACAATACTCAACTAATACTGTCAACACAAAAAATAATAAATGATAAGTCATATCACAGGAGTGGATGTTATTTCATTACATACAATTATATCCCCTCTCGTTTATTGAACATTATCTATGTATAAGTGTGTGAATATATATAGTAACGCATTCGTTTACAATACTTTCAGTTGATCAACAAACGGTAAGCCACGCCGTGCGCGCGGATTTCAATTAAACCCAAGGTGCAGTGTCCCCAAGAAGTTAAGTCATCGCGAGCGCCAAGAAGTGGTTCGATTTGGGCAGTATCGAAAAGTGATGGAGCTAAACAAGCAGTCAGTTAATTTATGCCGGTCTGTTAATTGACGAACAATTACAGGACAGAGTTTTGGGTCGTTGTTATTGTGTATAGTTGATAGTTTTGCCACTGTGATCTTGTGACTTCGGATATACTGAGATGAGCGCTATCGTTGCGAATCCAGTCCAGACACAAACGGGCGGCACTTCGACGGTTGTGGAACGCAAGCGGAGGAGGTCGCGCGCCGCTGTCACTCTGCTGGCTACGGCAAATGCCATTCTCAGAGTTTTGGGGGTGAATAACAGCAAATCCACGGCTAACGCAGTGTTAAAACTTCACCAGGTTTGCATTTTTTTACATTTTCTCTACTTTTATATTCTATATATGCTATTTTAAAATTACATTATTATTTGACCATTTTATTCACAAATTGATTAGCAATATTTTTATGGCGTCCCTTGACATGTAGCCAAAAGTGACCATAGTAAACAGGATCATCTTTTGTTATATTTTGTCATTAAAAATATTGTTCTGATCATAAAAAGTTTAATGTTCATATTTTCTCATCGGATTAAATATTGATCAAAATCAAATCGTCTTTTTAATTATTTATATAGTAGATATATAGTTCCAACAAACTATATTTTAAATTAAAATGACGTACTGTCTTTAATATATTAACTTATAATTAGAAATACTAAATACTTATCCATTTGGAATATTTTAGATTAGCCACTTACTTGTAAAAGTAATCAAATCTATAGATTTTTATGTTATTTGTTAAATAACGGCAATAAAAGTTCATAGTTAGCCCCTTAACCTACAATGATGAGCATAGTACGTGTAATATTTGATATGCAATTGTTTACAATTTTGGCCCAATATCTTCGAATCTAAATCGTTGGTTAAGGGGTTAATTTATAGAAAACCTATTTAAATAAGCGACAGAAATATTTACGCATTATTCAAATAAAATACAATACATCAAAGATGCTAATTACATTTGAATCTCCTTTTCAACAAATACAAGTTTTTCGGCATAAATATCTATTGCAAACATAAATCATTTTATATATTTATTGATTCGGTTTGCTATATTTGAATAATTTGCTTGGCCAAATGCTTGATTATAATACTACTTTGTATGGCATTGTTTTGTAAATATATAAATTTATTCAATACTGAATTCGGAATTGTTGCTTTCGTAAGTTAAATAGTATAAAGTTTATTTTGCAAGCAATGAATTATACATAAACATTCTAATGATACCCTAGGAATGACAGAGCTGTTGTAAACGATTGAGATTTCTTAGTTGAATTATTGATTGTGAATACGAAATCACTAATGTTATATGTAGATATATATATATATATATATATATATATATTCTTGAATGTTATATTTGCAGTCAATCGTCGATATAAAAGAACAATAAATAAAGATCTATTTATTTATACGTTTCGACACAGTATATGTGTCATCATTCAGTAATTTTTTTGATATTCATACAGTATCTACAAGAATTTTTACAATGTTAAAAAAATGATTAAATTTGAAATATATTATAGATTAAAATAAAATAAACAAGTAAAAAATTGATACATACCACACCAGGAAAAGCAATAACAAACATTTAAAATGACATAATTGAAATAAAACATAATAAATAAAGTAAAAAAATGTTTTAAGGTTAAATTAAAGATTTATGTAGTGTATACGTTGCGAACAAAGAACCGACCGCACCCGATGAAGACCTAGGGTTTACGAAAGATAATGCAGGAGTGGGTTTTCAAGGATAGTTAGTAACTATCTTTGAAAACCCACCCTTCCAAACCATGGAAGATGATGCAGGAATGGGTTTTCAAGGATATATATATACATATATATATATATACCCAGTAAACACTACTTGTTGCCGCAATATAACTTTTTATGTTACAAAGTTATATAACAAGAGTTAACTAAATGTAATGTACCCGCAATGTATTTTGAAGTTACAAAGTTATATAACAAATGTTAACTAAATGTAATGTACGCGCAATGTATTTTGAAATTACAAAGTTATATAACAAATGTTAACTAAGTGTAATGTAAGCGCAATGTATATCGGGAGTTACAAAGTTATATACATTTGTTACCTGATGTTATAAATGTGCAATGTTTTGTTAGAAAATATTTTCCACAACTTTATATTTTAATGAAAAATCGATTTATCTAATTTTTAAATTCCGGATATATATATTTTTTATATCAACCGATTAGATTGATTTAACTAGTGGTGTATGGCATCGTGCGTTAAGGCAAATTACTGGAACTTCCCGTACCAAAAATTAATTTTTTTTCAAAAAAAATTTTTTTTTCAACTTTGAAAAAAATAGATTTTTTAAACAATTTTACATTTTAGAAAAAATTGAATTTTTTGAAAAAAAAAACTTTAGAAGAAAAATGTTTTTTATGAGATGAAATATCAAAGCGCGTAAGCGCCGCGTTGCATGGTTCTTGAATTATTAAATTCGGACGCTTCGTTCTCTTAAATCTGGGTTACCTGGGCACTTTTTGCCCCGTATCTTCGGAACGGCTGCATCAGCACGCCTCCTTATCAATACGAATCGAATGTTGTTCCCGAAACGTCGACAAAATTTTCATTCTCGATTTTTTTGCGACTACTATAACTTACTACGGGAAGTTATAGTAAAAATTTCAAAGTTTTAAATAAAAAAAATTACATTTCTAAGTTTTCCAAAAATAGAATTTTAACTTCTTCAATTACTTACTTAAAAAAAACTATTTTTTTCAAAAAATTTAAAAACTTATAAGGAGAATCCACGCGTTGCCCGCCTCGGATTTTGATGAAACTTGGCACAATGCTAGATTTGATGCCCAAACTGACCGTGGTAAAATATTAGAGGCCTGTGAAAAGCGGTTTAAATATAAAAATTAAAGTTTGCATTTTAGCAGCGCGCGTATTGCATACTTTGCAAGCTATTCGTTATTAACAGCAGGTTGGCCGAGTGGATATCGTCGTGGAATTCTAATTTTTGCTCCGGGGTTCAATTCCCAATTCAGATATAATATTTTTTTATTATTTTTCTTTGATATTTATAATTTCACGTGTAAATAATATTAACATTTATTTGAGTTTTCGATTAATTTTATATTTTTCGCTTAATATTCCATAATGAAGTCCTCCGTAACACCTGTAAATTTTTATTTTGATATTACTTATAAAACTTACGATCATATAAATATTAAGTGATTTCTGAAACATTATAATTTTGTATTAATAACAACAATAATACGGAAGAAAAGATATAAATTTATAAGTAATATCAAAATAAAAATTTACAGGTGTTACGGAGGACTTTATTATGGAATATTAAGCGAAAAATATAAAATAATCGAAAACTCAAATAAATGTTAATATTATTTACACGTGAAATTATAAATATCAAAGAAAAATAACAAAAAAGTATAATAAAATTTTTGAATTTAATTAAACGTTTTAAACGTTTAACAGTTGTCTTCCTTTTTCGGCAGAGGGACTCAGACTCAGGAGTCAGGTTTCCCAGAGTGCATTGCGCCCTGTAGCCTGTACGCCATTTTGATTTTATACTCTGTCATATGTGAGGATGTTTTTGTTGGGTTGTTTGGTCTTGTTTTATTTTAAATATTTTGTAATATTGAGTGCTACGTGTATAAATAAAAATGCAAAAATATATAGTATACATATGGCGTAAACTTTACATATTTGCTTATGTGAAATTTGTACAGCTACATTGAAATCGGGAGAGTATAAGAAATAACCTCAAAATGAATTTTATGAAGTGCTGTTTGATATATAATATTATGAAGGGTAAGTATAATTTATTTGTTGGTTACTGTGCTAAAAGCCTAATTATTTTTATAAGGCTTGCGTTTGGAGATGTCTCAAAAAAAAACTAGAGCTTATTATTTGGATATGAAAATTTAGTTTTCGACAATGCTAGAAGATACTAAAGGTAAATAACGGTTTAAATTTTTAATGGCTTTTGAGGTTTATATTTTATTATTGTAATAATTTCTTTTTAGGATTGGATTCTAAGTCTCGGTTTAAATCCTAAATTGCCTCGAATAACATATGTGATTAATATGAAAGAATATCAAGAGGGTTTTAACAGCAAAACAAGGAATAAATGAAAGGTATATGGCATAGTTCTTGTTAACTAATTACTATTATAAATTCTGTTTTAACCTTTCTCATTTGTTTTTAAGGTGGAATAGTACATATTGGCTACGATGGAATTAAGACAAATTGTGAATATTGAAAATGAAGATGTTGGAAGTATCTCGATAAGAAAAAATCAAAGATCCATAATGCTCAACTATAATTCTAATAGTTGTATTGTTTCTTTGCAAAAAAATATAATTGTATTTGAAAATTGTCATCAATTGTCAATTTGGAATTATGTAATAAAGTTTCTGTATATTGGTGTGTCGAGATAGCTAGGTTAATAGTTAGACCAAAACTAGATATTTTTATTTCCATCCTTTATTATTAATTAATATCATTTAAAAATATTTTTATATTCAATTTGTGTTTCATTTGAAAATATGAAATAAATAATTGTAATGAATATAAATTTTATATTTTTGTTATTGTTTTCGAAAAATATTTGTTACTGTTTATTATAACATATTTAATATTGTTATTTTTAACATCTAAAATATTCTAGTTTATTATGTTATTTTTTTGTTTAATAGGTTACTATTTTGTTTTTCATTGTGTAAATAACAAAAAATAAATGTAATTGATATAAATTTTATGTATCGTCTAAAATATTTGTTGCTGTATTGTTTATTATATTGTATTACTGTCTTGTTATGAAGTTTATTATTGCTTTATAAAATTTGTTGCTGTTCTATATAGTATAAAATATTTGTTGCTATTTTCTTTATTATAATGTTGTTATTCTTTTTATGAAATATTTGTTACTGTTCTCTTTAGTATAAAATATTTGTTGCTATTTTGTTTATTATAAAATACTTGATACTGTTCTGTTTAGTATAAAATATTTGTTGCTATTTGTTTGTTATAAAATACTTATTACTGTATTGTTTAGTTCAAAATATTTGTTGCTATTTGTTATAAAATACTTATTACTGTATTGTTTAGTTCAAAATATTTGTTGCTTTTTGTTTGTTATAAAATATTTGTTACTGTTCTGTTTAGTATAGAATATGTGTTGCTAATTGTTTGTTATAAAATATTTGTTACTGTTTTGTTCAGTTCAAAATATTTGTTGCTATTTGTTTGTTATAAAATATTTGTTACTGTTTTGTTTAGTACAAAATAGTTTATAATAAACAATAGCAACAAATATTTGCTGTTATTTATTTGTTATAAAATACTTATTACTGTTTCGTTTAGTTCAAAATATTTGTTGCTATTTGTTTGTTATAAAATATTTGTTACTGTTTTGTTTAGTACAAATTATTTGTTGCTATTTGTTATAAAATATTTTTTGCTATTTTGTTTACTATGAAATATTTGTTGCTGTTCTATTTAGTATAAAATATTTGTTGCTACTTTGTTTATTGTAAAATATTAATTTTAAATAATAAATAAAATGAAATATGAGTAAATCTTTTTTTTTAGAGAAAAATTAATTATTTACGCATAAATTATAAGCATTTCAAAAAGTGCTGATTCATATCGCATAGGTACATTACAGTATGTTACCGCAACTTAACAATGTTATATAACAAGTTAACTAACAGGGTAGGAAATAGTTACCTTCAGGTAATAAAATTTCTTAGGGACGGTGAGGTTGACGTTATATAACTAGGTAACATTTTTATATAACCGCAACCTAACGGCAATATAAAATTGTTTACAGGGTATATATATATATATATATATATATATATACATATATATATACTAGCATACCCGGCCACGCGTTGCTGCGGCTTTTGTTAAAATTCATCTGATTTGAATCCGTTTAATAACCAACATTTCAATCCTTTTGTTATAAAAAATTATAAAAATCTAAAAATAAATAAAATTCGGATTGAAATTTGAAACCGATGATTCAATACTATTGATTAAAATGTTTTTTAAAACTTGTATTAATGAAAAAAAATTTAAAGTTTTTAATAAAAGAGCACATTACAATACAATATTTCATTTTTATATTCTATACTATTTTTATTTATACATATTCTGTACTTGCTTATTTACAACTAAATTCTTCATTCTTCTTTTTTCCTTCTAAATCTTAAATGCAAATAAAAATAAAAACTAATAATTTCTTTACATCATCAGCACAAGCAAATCTTTTTTGTAATCATTTTAATCGAATGATCCGTTCCCTCAATAACTGCTCTTATTGCACTTTTTGCTCACGATCAGTATCTACGAAACGGCTGAATTTGCCTTACCAAAAACAAATCAGCACATCTCCCCGTCTATACGAATCGAATACTTTTTGACTCATTTTAATCTTAAAGAATATATCTAAACATTCATAATTTTTTTAAGGTTCTATTTCTAATTTTTATTCTAATTTAAATTAAATGATAATTCTCGAGTCCAGCCGAGTGGGTATCCCTGGCGTGTGAGTCGGTTATGCTACTGACTGACCTATTCCCGCTACGATAAGATATTTCTTTCAAATAAAAATCATTATTTTTAGTCTTATACTTCGTAAATAATATTATGCATAAGTTTAATATTTTGAATGATATAAAATTTCATATATTTTTCGTGTTGATTTTCCGTTCCATGTTTACAGTTTTGGAATTTGCAAATTCTCTATTTTTTGTGAAGCAGTAGAGATTTTTAAGATGGTACCAACAAATATGTTGTTAATGTGAATGTGCGGCGGCAAGCCGACTGGCGATCTCTCACGTAAAACAGCTCTAGAGAAGTAGCCTTTCACGACGCACTCGGGAAGTCCACTTGCTTGTCGCTCGTTGTTTTATAACAGTTTACTTTGTTTTGCTCTCACTGACGCAGACGCTCCGCGTCTGGAGAAATTCTTGGATGGAAACCTATACTAGGGCTGTGATGAGAAGTTTTTAATTTATTTATTTATTTATTTATTCATAAGCAAGCCGTAATCAATAATAATAGATATTATTTCAGGCTCTTGTCAAGCTTATTCATAGTTAATATTAAAAGGATAGTAATTTTATAATAATCATAGTAGCTGCACGAATTTCGCTTCTGAAAAAAAAGAGCTGAAAAAAGCATTAGAACATTAAATACAATGTTCATCATCAAGTTCATTATATTAAAGTCTATTTGACCACCAGTCAAGCTCAACATTCTTGCACAAGGTTGAAAGTTATACTCATTTAAAACCGTAAAAATGTTAAATTAATAAAATAGCAATAAAAAAAATTAAAAACTAGCTGTAAGTGGAATTCTGTCTTAAGGCAATTAGGGCATCGCGCCTTAAGGCAAATTGCTGGAACTTCCCGTACCAAAAATTATTATTTTTAAACGATTAACATTTTTGAAAAAATTTTACTTCAAAAAAATAGATTTTTGAGAAACTATAAATTTGACAAAAAATTACTTTTTTTTGAAAAAAAAATTATTTTCTTCATTTTGACATAGTTTGGAAATTCTGAACTTTTTTCCAAAGCAGTCGCACTGGTTGAACTGCATAGAGACGAAATGTCGAAGCTCGCAAGTGCCGCGTCGCCGTCTAACGCATAAGCATTGGTACGGAACCCATAGAAATGTAAAAAAATTATACTTATTGTTAAAATCTCTATAAAATATCTGATAATTTGATGTGCATATGTCTAATGATCATTTTTAACCGCCGAATGGCATTTTTTTTACTTTTTTCATTAGATCTCCGAAACCGCTAGACCTGCCTTCATAAAAATTTGATCAATTCTACATCTTGTCAATACAAGTAAAATGTTTTTTGAATTATTCAAATCGGACGCTCCGTTCTCTTAAAAACAAAGGTACCGTTTTTGGCACTTTTTGCCCCGTATCTTCGGAACGGCTAGACCTGCCTTCGCCAAAAACTAATCAGCACGCCTCCTTATCAATACGAATCGAATGCTTTTTGAATTATTCAAATCTGTTGATCCGTGTTCCCGAAATCGTCGACGAAAATTTGTATCCGCACATACATACACACACATACATACATACATACATACACACACACATACACACACACACACGCACACACATACATCCATTTTTCTAAGGTATGCCAAAATGTTCAGAAACCTCTGAAACGTAAAGATATATAAAAATTTTCATTTTCGATTTTTTTGCGATTACTATAACTTACCCTACGGGAAGTTAAAAAAATATGGTTGTACAGGGGATCAAATGGTCAGACTACATAGATAAAGGATAAGGATTATGCAAGAAAATAGTTATTGAAATCAAATTGAGAAAATTCAGTAATGTCATATAAAGCTAATTCTTTAAAAAGTTTAACTAGGGAAGCATGAAATTTTTTGCTGTCTAAGTTTCGGATGTTGAGTGGAAGTTTATTCATAAGCTGAATACTTAGACCGTCGATCGTATTGAAAGAGCTGCTAATTTATATGTGCGCGCCTTAATATAAAGAACTATAATACACGATGTTTCATTTTTTTTTTTTTTTTTTTTTTTTTTTTTTTAATTACAATCTGTCACACATTAGGACATTGAGTAATTATATTGACTTATTCTCATTATATGAATCTTGAATGAACGGCAACCTAGTAGTTGTCCAGTCCAGTTATGACTAATTATTATACTCGAAGTATGTACTGACATATTATATGTGCAATTATACCCACGGGAGGCGATTTTCACTTGAGGTTATATTTGAAATCTATGACCTCAAGTGGAAATTTGACATCAAAGTTGCCTGATGTCAGGCTTGGCGGTAGCGGGAATCGATCCGGCGAACCTGGAACTAGTTGTTGCTAGACCACGCTCTAACCGATATCGCCACCGCCGGCCCTAAGTGAACAAAATAATAAAAAAAAAGCTGCTGCAAGGTTTGCTGATACCAAACACCGCTTTGTGAGTACTTAATATAAAAAAGGGCCAGGTTGGCCATTATAATTCTAATATGATACATCTTTTAAACACAGAACTTTGTGCATATATGCTTATGCTCAGCCCTTAACATATTCATATGAAGAGAACTGTAAGCCTAACATTGCGCAATGTTCAAAGAGTATCGCGGTTCTTTGTGCACGGCGCTTATATAAAGTTTTCCGTTTTATTGCCAAACTCATAAAAGGTCTACTATATAGTCTCAGTAATGCAATGGTGATAATAACAACACAAAAGCCTTAGCGC